TGTTGAATACCTCGTACAATGGGATTCGTTGCTCTTTGCTCCATGTGAGGAACCACCAGCTGTTCTGCCAATTCCATGAGGAATACACGTCTTCGGTCGGTCCTCTTGACATGCCCCAATTTGTCATGAATGACAAATGCAGCCAAGCCCGCCACGTCCAGCATGTTATAGAACAGAGCTAACGGCCACCGGTTTGTGCCCCGTTTGCACGTGTTACCGCTAACCATCTGATCCATGGTGTCCACTCCGGATTTATACTTATTGTAGTCCAGAATTTGAAATGGCTTCTTCGATGGCTTCGATGAGTCGACGGCGGAATTGTAATGTTCGGTCGAGATGAGAACCACAACTTTTTTCTTTTTTGGCACGTATGAGCATAGTGCGATGTTATTATTGTGGTAACCGAATACTGTACTGAATACATCTCGTTTTGGATCCAACATCTCCTTCGGTATGCAGGCTTTGTTTTTGCGCATGGTTCCTACATATGCCAACCGTTTTGTCACCAAAGCCGTGGCCAAATCAAAAGACGAGAAGAAATTATCGGCATATATTGTTCGTCCAGAACCGGCGTATTTTTCGACCAATTTAAGAACAACATTCTCGCCTTGATTTCCCGCACGCGCTTCATTTGCCTGTTTTCCAACATATATTATTCCTTTCAGTGGGTAATTGGAATTGGCGTCACACATCCACCAGACTTTAATTCCGTATTTTGCTGGTTTCGATGGAATATACTGGGTGAAACGCGTGTGGCCTCGGTACGGGAACAATTGCTCATCTATAGTTATCTGGGCACCCGGAACATATAGACGCTCCAAGTTGCTCATGAGCATGTTCCAAATGTCGTCAATGGCGGCCGATTTGCTTTCTAATAGTCGAGCGGGTCTCGTGTTGCCGTTATCGAATCGAATATATTGTAGAATAATTTTATAGCGGTGTGCAGACATCGTCGCCCTGTAGATAGGGTTTCCGTTGTTGCCCCACAACTCAAGAGCAGGCTGACTGTTTGACCCGAATATGCCGGCAAACAAAGTTAGGCCAAAAAAGGCGTATATTTCATTTTCGGTTACAGGTTTCGTCCACGTTCGCGGTGTCTGGTCAGGATTCTTGGCACACCACAGGCGGCATAGTTCCTGGGCCTTTCGGTTCGTTTCACGCACAATTATACTAACGATTTCCGGTGTTATTATCGATTTAAATATTGAAACCGGGGATCGCATAATCCCTGGAGCCGGGCCTTCGCGACCCACAATAGCGCAGTTATGCGCACGAAGTCTACCTGTGCACGGCGGAGCGCTTGACCAAAGCTTGCCATCCTTTGAACGGTATTTAATAATCGAGCTCGCCGAACGAGGCTCCTCGTCCATATCGACGGCTTCAAGCGCTTCGGGTGCAGCTGCAGCGCCTTCATATAAATATTCCAAATCCTCATCATCGTCATATGGAGTCTCGGTTTCTATAACGGTCTCAGTCTCAGCATCGGAAGCCGCATCTTCTAACGTCGGCACATAATCAGGATCCGTGACGTCGTCGCCTTCGAATGCATTGATTTCCTCGGCTTCTCCATCAGCACCGGCCAACCATATTGCTAACCTTTCTTCCATTTGCCTCCTCTCTTCTTCCGATAAATTTTGATATCTTGTGGTGCGATTCACCACGTCCATCATATCATCATCGATACTGGATGCTGAAGCCATTTTTCTATATGTAAACAAACAGAAAAAATTACACTTACCTTATATTTTTATGGAGAACCCCAAAATAAATTCACTTCAATAAAAACTTACAGGTGTTTGCACTACAGCTTCACTCGTTTCAATAAAAACTCACAGATGTTTACACTACAAACGCTGCTGCTATACACGTTGCATGCGCTCAATTCAATCTGAACGTTCTATATAAAGTTTTACAGGCACCACCAAAAAAACTAATATTTTTAATTTTCAAATCGAAACGGTTTCATAACAGCTATTAGATGAGAAATATTATTTATTTCGCCGGTAAGAGTTATAATACAGCGTTTATTTTTTACGTTGCTTGATAACAGTTATTTTCCAGCTTTTATTTTTTACTTTGTCTGATAAGTGTTATAAGTTAACGATATCTATGAAGATGGAGATGAAGTGGAAGGTAAATATGATGAAAACAAAAGTGAGATAGTGAAAAAACTCTCTTCAAGCAATGTAAAAAATAAGTGTTGCGAAATAACTCTTATGAGCAACGGAAAAAATATTTCTCCGGCATAACAGTTATCAGGCAAGGTAAAATATAAACGTTGGGTTATAACTCTTATCGGCGAAATAAAAAAATTTTCTCATCTAATAACTGTTATGGGGCAAGGTTTTTGCGATAAAACTTATAACTGTTATGTCCGTGGTCAAAACATTTTTAAAACGCCTGCTCCAGCATTCATGCCACACATAGGTCTGCACAGACCTGTTTGGTCCGTTTGAGCCATTACGTTTGCAAACACTAATAAAACCCAACACAAACACAAAAGAGGTCTGATTTTATGCTTATTGTGTTCGCCGTAGCCGCTTCTAGGAAGTCATGGAAGGATTCGTCTCTAGCACGCAAAACTAAAAAGTTATACACACGTTTATGTGCAAAAGGTCTGCACAGACCTGGTTGAACCTCCTAGGGTTAAATATTTTTCGTTTAGTTTTTATTTAAGTACTATGTCTCATACTCCATAAACCATTCAAATTCAAATTCCTAACTGTGCTGCAAACTTGATAGAACTATTTCGAGTATTCTGTTTTGTAGCCCATCAAACTTTAGTGTAGTAAAGTGTAATCTTGCATCTTAAACGAAAATATTTAAATATGGGAATGCCTTCAAGAGCGTGCGTAAAAAGAGTTATAAAAAATCAGCGCGATTAATTATACTAAAATTTAATGGGCTATAGAACTGCATACTCATAAACTGATTTAAAATATTGAAGTTTTTATAACAGTTTCTAGAATTCTACTAAATTTCCAACACAGTTAGAAACGTGAATTTATTTGTTTATGTTATAATACTTATGAGCCATCCTTAAATAAAAAATTTACGAAAACTATTTAGCATGAAAACTATTGTAAATATTCCAAATTCTATATTTCTTATGAGATGCCGGAAATTCTATGTATTACATTTCAATAAATTTAATCCAATTTAACGCTGAGTTATCACAAATAATCATTCAATATATCATCGTTTTTCTCATTTTTTGACACGACTTAGTTCAGATTTTTAATTATAGGTATCCCAGAAATACCCACTATACGTAACAAATATAAATTATTTATAAGAATAACGGTTTTAGAAAATAAAGGAATAATTGACACACAGTTTGCTTCAAAAAGTAAATTAGTTCAAAATAAATAGCTCTTTAAACATAAAATGAAGTATTTTTATTTACAAAATTGTATGCGTGCTTTTTTAAAGAAAAGGCTCTATACTATACTTATTAGAACCAGCTCAAAACTAACCACATTTTTTCTAGCCCGGAGGTGACCCTTTTTGAACTATCTAAGAACTGTTGTTATATGAACTGTATCAGAACCATCTAAGTCAGAGTCAGCTCAGATCAAGTTCAAAAGTTCTGCAGAGGGCGACAATTGTCACTTCGTAGGACATCGCCATGATAAAAAAAGACAGTTGCAAACATTGAGTTGGGATAGATGAAGAACCAGTACCGTCCCTTTTCAGGCTAGCTCAGCGCAAGTTCTGAACCAGTTTGATTTGCTGCAGGGTACTTACAATTTTTATTACTTTGGGTTAGTAATTTAATACACCGGCTTCCTTCGTATAGTTTTCGTTGTTGTTGGTGCTGTTTCCTCCTGTAGTCACCTTTTGTGAATTTTTCCGTTTTGTTTTTCAGGTTTTTGGTTCAACTATGGCGCTAAAGGACCAATGTTTAACTCCTGTGGTATATTAGGGGTCCGCGGCGCGGAAGCAGATACCAGACTCCGCGACGGACGAGTCGAAGCCGCACCCCGCAGCAGGAGAGCAAGAGACGTACCCAACTGAACCGCCAATCTCGGCGTGCTAGTAGAAGCCGAACCCCCTTGAACACGAAAAAGAGTCGTACGCCACAGCGGTCGACACAAGACCGGAACACATCAGCACAGCGACGCTCCGTACGGTTCGCCCGAACTCCTTCTCGTAAACGAAGTGTTGGCTTCCGACATACAAACCGAGGCATCGGGACGGCGCGCTATCAAAAGGAAAGGGCGAGATCCCTACTCGCCTCCGCGATTCGATCCTTGTCGGACCTTCGAAACGTTTTTTAATGACTGCACAAGTGCATGGCGGCCCAGGATGGCTAAATCCCTTTTAGCCAAACAGCTGTATCGTGTGTAGGGGCCTTTAGGACTGCCTTTTCCGATTCGAAACACACATCCCATCCCCAATTATCTCCGATTGGTTTTTTTGCTTATTAAAAACAATATATGTATATCTCTGCGGTTACATTAAATCGTTTAATTTTTGCTTTATTTTGAATTTATATTGTGAACTAATAATAACGCGAATAAGTGAATTGCGAGTTTTTAAAATAAATATATTCGTGAATATAGACAATATACCACTGGAGTTAAACATAGAATTAAGACTTTGAATTCTATAGAGTCACTATTATAACGTGGGTATGGGTAATAAACCATTAGTAGACTAATGTATTAATCTAATCCTTAGCACGTGCATTTGCGCCATTGCGCATTCATATGACCTATTCAAGATAGACTCACCCCTAGTAACCATACGAGATGGGTATGGGTGGATCATCGATGGACACTTCAAGCTAATTCATGTGGTAAATTTGGAACGATACGAACTGGCAACAAATCGGCTCGAGTGGGCAATAACTACCTTAAATGAAACAACAGCATCTACAGAGGTACTACTATTCCAGCTAGGCAGAATCCGCACACGTTTAAACGAACTAAGAGGTCCCGAGACGGCTAGATTAAAACGATCTATTAACTGGATTGGGTCAGCTTGGAAATGGATTGCTGGCTCACCTGATGCTACGGACTGGGATGAGGTCCTCCGAAACGAAAATTCCCTTAATAAAAATAACGAGCAGCAGTACAAGGTGAATGATGAAATTTTTAAGAAAACTAATCAGTTATTGCAGAGGCTCAATGGCATTGTGGTCGCCACCAATGATGTAATCAACAAGAAGAACTTGGACAGGATTTCCCAAGAAGTGCAGCATAAAATCTTTATCCTGAATGAAGACGTCAACGAACTGATCCGTGCTTGTCAGATGGCTAAGGCAGGAGTCGTCAACACCAACCTTCTGAGTATAGAGGAAGTTAACCAGCTTGTCAGTGAGATCGACGTTCTTCCATAGAGCAACGCCATCGAAGCCATTGAATATAGCAAACCATCGATCTACACCAACAACACACTCCTCTTATACGTGTTGTCTCTACCAAAAGTCACAGAAGCTAGATGTAATCACCTGAGCGCAAGAGCTAACATACAGAACGGCGTCCGAGTGGAATTGGCATATCAAACAATCCTGACCAATAAACATCAGACATTCGGCATCAAAGAACACTGCTTGCAATTATCTGCTACCATGATCTGCGAAGGGAAATCACTCGACCTGCTACCAGAATCTAGTTGCCTGACTCGTCTTCTCAAGGGAGGACAAACAAGTTGTACTTACGCCACCTGTAACGTTCCACTGTTGAAATCATCAAGGATGATACCATTTCCCTTGACAATTTTATAGGGATTGTAGAATCAGGTAACGATTCAAATACACTTAATGGTTCTTATATCCTCCAGATGGACAATGAGACCGTAGCAATCAATGGCAAAAACTACTCGAGTACTAGTAGGTCAGGCGTACAGGTGCTTCCACCAATCTTGGCCAGCGTCACTAACCGCAGTGTGGTAATGAACCTTAACCTGATACACGGGATGACAGCCCATAATATAAAGCTCCTGGGATACCTCACGGAGAAAACCAATTGGTTTGCGTTCACCGAAGGTTTGGTGTTAGTCATACTAATGTTATCTTTGGCATATTTGGAGAAGGATTACGGCGAAGATACACCTACCTGCATTGAACATTGACAACAAGGCATTGACAAACCGAAGAACGTCCATCTAGTCTGCGGGACGCAGATCTTTAAAGGGGGAGGAGTTAACACATCCGCCGTCACCCAACATGTTGCATTCCCACAGTCCAGCAATACACGTGCGCCATGTCAGCATAATTGTGGTTCACAACATAATTGACATCCTACACCTTTGTCAAGGCCAAGTGCATTTCATCATATTATGCAATAGCAATATTGCACAACGTTATCAGACACCTATGGGAACCGTCGGCCACAGTTAGTACCTCTGGCTAATGCTTACGCAACCATTAGTATAACGGAGCCAATGCATTAGGTATTGCAGCGGTGTCAGCATAATTTCATTTCACACGGTTGTGAAATCAGTGTGTTGCATATTCCAAGTTACCTGTGGCAATTCAAGGCCAAGGCGGCTCACTGACGTCGCCTATGTCTGGCTATAGAACAACGGCAGCGGAACAGGCTATAAAGGGCGGCAGAACTCGGAGCAGCGGCAGTTGCATCGGGGTGTTACTATAGTGAATTAGGCTTATTTATTTATCTCAATAAAGACCTTTTATTATAACGTTTACATTACCTCTTTTAATTCCAGGGCAAGTTGGCCCTTTAATTTTTTTGTTGTTCAGGACCTTCAGTCCTTAACTTACATATATGTATCGATTTTATTACCTAAAATAATAATAACAAAACTATTCAATTTGATTACTTAAGGGTAATCACAGTCTTGTGCATACAGTTTTGCATGTGAATATTTCGATGCGTTTGCACATTTGCAACAATCAAATGCAAACAGTTACCATGGTAACATGTATAAAATATCAAATGCATCGAGATGTGCAAATGAAAGACTATGCACCGCTACTTTTTTATAAAATTAATGCTTATCCTACAAAAAAAAAACATAAAAATAAAACTTCTAAACACTATCGGCAAGAAAATTGCCAAATATCAGGGCTGCAAAACTGGATTCTCAGAATTCTTCCACAAAATCTGATTAGAAAGGTGCAAATTTAAATTCAAATTTATTGATTTTTCAAAAGTTTTTCCAAGTTTAGAAATTTTATTTTTATGTCTATTGTGTGATATAAATTATATTTTCATACCAAATTAAAACAAAAAATTTTTTGTTAAAAATTCTCTGGA